AAATATATATATTGTCACAACTTTAGAACCACAGCTCTATTGATAGCAAAAATTAATGAAACCAGAGCGTTATACATTTAAATACCCTAACGAGTTGTGGAGAACGTGGTCGCCTTTTTATTGAGGGCACTTGAAACAGCACCGGTTTGTTTTTTAAGGACGTACGCATAAGGAAAGAGCATTCGCTTAACAAATTGTACACACAACATCCATTATTCATAAATTGTGACTGCGTCGAACTTGTAGTATAGGTATCGTAGCGTACTGGGACGACCGCGGGCGATAACCGAATAAAACTAACGAAAATATCCATGAAAATTGCAAAAAAGCTTGTTTGACAAACGTTGATTTCAACAAGGCTTCCAAATTTTTAAAATTCTTTCAGTCAGTCTGTCTTTTCTCGCATTTCATTCATTTTTAAGGTTCCGTACGTCATAATGAAATTCATTACTCGCGCGTTTCTGTTCGTTCATCCAACGTTGCTTGGGCATCCGCGTTTGAAAATCTTATATATATATATATATATTTTATACTGTGATAGAAATGATTTTTTTTTCGTCATGTTAGATAAGGCTTAAAATATTTCTCAGACAGACAATCTTCTTTCAGATGCTCTTATCTAACGGTGGGTATGATTATTTTAAAGATTACAAGAGCTAATTCCATTGTCGTTTCATTTAAACCAGCTTTGTTTCTCAAAATGTTTCTTTGTTAAAGAAACATTTTGAGATTACAAATCATCAGTAATGTAATGATCATAGCGTGATTGATATTGAAAGCAAACCTTGAAAATTTTACGCTTTAGCTATGTTATGTTCGTTTTAGAACTACTGTTAAATATACGATATAAATAATGGTCAGTTATGTTTAGTGTTAGAGATATCCTCCAGACCTATATGCAAAATCAGTAAAACAAAAATAATATATATCCTTAGAAATTTTGATGACACTACTATCGGCGGTGTTCCAAGTACAATTTTCATCTTAACATCTGCGAAGTTCTTAAGCTGTCTGAGTATATTTTTTCAGGAAGATTGGATGATTGATGCGAAGATGGTGAAATATGCGATGAAAAATACACTGAAAATATAAAAGTTCTCCCTTATATTTTTATTTAGTCCGAAAGGTAGGTTTACGACCGTAAAATTTACTATCGGCCACGCTTCTGTGTTTGGCGGATACAAAATATTTTCTGGCCACGCTTCATTTATTTACAACGGCTTCACAATTTTCATGGTCCTTTTCAGAGGATACATTATATGATTGTTAACAGAGTCACATGTGAATACGAATTGTATTTTGTGATTTACCTCATACATTTTTTATATTACAGTTATTTATATTTTTTGAAGATGTATGTATTTTCGGCACATTTATTTATTTTAGAATTATTGCGGAATATATCCAACCCAAAAACCCTTCACTGACGTGGAGGAGGCCCTTAGTTCTGCAGTGGACTGTTATGAGCTGTTATGATCATAATATGATAAGACTGACGGTACGATTCCTTTTGTTTGACTGTTATCTCACTAATGATGCATATGTCGATGTAAAAACGGTCCCCGTGGGAAAATAAACTCTATTTAATTAAAAGAAATTCTTACATCTTACAAACAAGGTCGGTTGCATAATAATTTTATTCTTATTAAAATGTTTTGTTGCTTGAGCTGCGAATCGATTGGCCGATATCTGTCTTGTCCGTGTATCGCATATTGGCCAGTTTTTGTAGGTTGTTTTATAAAATGCCCGTTTAAGTGTACCGTGTAATCGAGGTTGCAACTTGTCGGCTTTAATATGGTCTCAATATGGCCATAATTGCTGTAATGATGATACGTGTGCCGGATGCTGCTGTATGGTTGTACTTTTGGTTGGGAGATGAGTTTTTGTTGTAAAGTCTGTATGTCTACATTAAAATAAAAAGTTCGTTTAAATATTAATAAAACGCAAGGTTATCGGAAACATTCATTTAAATCTGATCAAACATTTGCTTGCTTATACCAAAATAAATATCGTACGTAATGTACAGTATTATACGAGGGTCAAACTGAAAGTTCTTAGAAAATCAAAAACTGATTACATTAGCCAGTTATTAGTTTTATTATATCTTTTCAAAATATTGTCCATTCACGTCAATACACCGCTGCATGCGATGGAACCACTGGGAAAAGCACTTTGCCCACTCGTCCTTAGGGGTCTCTTCAATGGCATCGCGATACGCAGCCACCGCTTCTTCAGCATTCATAAACCGCTTTCCTTTAAGTTTTTCTTTAATTTTTGGAAATAAATAAAAATCACAAGGCGCGAGGTCGGGGCTATACGGCGGGTGACCCAGTAATTCAACGTTTGATGTCGCCAAATAGTCGATCGTTCGCTTGGCGGTGTGCGACGAGGCGTTGTCGTGGTGAAGGAGGATCCTACTGCGAGGTCGTTTCTCTCGAACTTTTTCCAAGACAAGTGGCAAACAATTGGTAGTGTACCATTCTGCAGAAACTGTTTTTTGATCCTCTAACACAATTGTTGCAAAATGACCTATCCTTCCAAAGAACGAGGCCACCATTTTTTTTCCCGCACTTCGATCTCTCTTCACTTTAGTTGGCAACTCCTCGAAAGGAAACACCCACTGAGCAGATTGTCTTTTGGTTTTAGGATCATAACAGTAAATCCAGCTTTCGTCACCTGTTAGTATGTCGAACACAGCATTTGAGTCACCTCCGTTAAATCTTTCAATCATTTTACGACACCAATCCACACGATGGAGTTTTTGAGCCTCAGTCAAATTATGAGGTGTCCACCGGGCGCAAAGCTTCCTGACCGCTAAATGTTCGTGGAGGATTTTGTGCACTTGACTCATACCGATGCCTAAGCTTGTCCGAATCTGTTGATAGGTCACTCTTTTGTCAGTCTCTATCATACGCCGCACAACACAGATGTTATCTTCAGTCGTCGCCGTAGAAGGCCGTCCCTCACGTAAATCATCAGTGAGATTAGTGCGACCACGTTTAAACTCATTAAACCAGTTGTAAACAGTCGCACGAGATGGGGCTTCATCGTGAAAGGCCAATCGTAGTCTATCATAACTTTCTTGTTGACTTAAATGACATCGAAAGTCATAAAAAATCATTGCACGAAAATTTTCTCGTGTTAAATTCATGATGACGTGACACAGACAATTTTCAATTTGCCGCCAAATCGTAAAACAAATGACAAATGAATGAAATATATACTCAGTAATATTGGCAAAGAGTTATATTTTTAAATTTTAGAATTATTTTTTTATTATATTGTTTTTAAGTGGCCAGTTCTAAGAACTTTCAGTTTGACCCTCGTATATAACTATTTCAATAGTCACATATTAATCTAAGCACTCGAAATGTGAGCATCAAGGATAGATGATAACAAGAAAATTGGTGCCGTCTATAGTTGTTAAGGGCTAAGGTTGCACAATCACTCGGTTTATTATTGCATAGTATACTGTGTTTACAGTTTGCCTTGATATTATTGGCATTTCGATTGGTTTAATAAAAGCAGTATACATGATATATGCTTTTAAATTTTATAACTATATAATATTACGAATTAATTACATCTTATATTTAATTTTAATCAAATTTAATCTTAAAAAGACATTTTCCTTTTTTTACAATTGAATTATATCATTTTGTAACGTCTGCAATATAAATATCGACTTCCACGTGTGTTGGTTGTTGAGTTTAAATATTTTGTTAGTATGAATATTTTTTATTTTTGAAAAAAAGTCATTATAATATCCTTCGTAGTTGCACTTAATCTTCGTAGATCTGCTTAAGTAGTCGCCAGGATTGCCAAAGGCCATGGGTTCGTGTCCCATCTCAGAGTGTCAGAGACAAAATAGACTTTTTTGCATTTTTTACTAAGAGTATCATCACGAAAAATCATCTTATATGAATCGGATCCGTGTTGAGTATCAATTATTAAATTTTAAATTGAAATTTAAGTGTATTGAAAGTATTCAAAATTTAACTGTGCTATTTCTCATATCTAACTTATTTTATTAAAAACCAAAACAATGAAACGTAACCTATGCAAATGTAAAAAAAAAAATCTCAAATATTATTCAATCATATTAACTTAAACGACATAACAAGTTTAGATTAAAAGAAAGCTTGATTTGTTCAGGATTTGTACATCCATAAAATTAAGCTTAAATTTTGTTATCCTTCAGATTGTGTACATAATTCCATTTTCTATATTATAATCCTACGACGTATAGGTGACCACTCAATACACGTGCACTGTGTGTCACCAGCCCTATTTACGTCCCCACTGCAGGGGCTCAGGTTCTTCCGTATGGATTAAGGTTAAGGAGGATGGGCCATGACCCTCCACGCTGGCCCAATGCGGATTGGAGGGTATTAACGACTGCAAATGCAGCCGGGACCAACGGCCTAACGTGCCTTCCGAAGCACGGAGTAGCTCGAGATAATAATTTTTTTGGTCACCCATCCCGTGACCGACCCTTGCGAAAGTTGCTTAACGACTACGATCGCGGGCCGCGACGCTTATCAACTACGCCACCGAGCTCTCTGCACTGTGCACTGTAACCATGTGCAATTATTTCCAATTTGTTATTACTTTCATATGAGTTTTTTTTAATGGGCATGCCTTAAATTCAATAGCATAAAATGTATTTTTGATCGTTTCCGCGATACAACTACACATATTCGATATTGTTATCGCTGGAATTTAAGGAGTGTATAAACTTTATGGCTTATATTTTCTTTATAGTATACAGTAACGTCTGTAAGGAATTTCTTTTTTTAACAGTCTTCTGATTAACAGTCTTGTTTATGTATTTTGTTTTATGTTATTTTAACGTAATAGCAAACCAATCCAACTGGAACTCATTCCAAAACGGTTATGCCAAATAAGAACATAATGCAAAAATAAGGGATCTGAGTTTAAAATTATTTATCTATGTTTTGCAATATTAAGACGCTTTTAGTGTTTATAATTTTAGTATCATAAACATTCTGAGTTTTTATGGTTATTTTTATTGGCAAAACTTTATCAAGAATGGTTTGTATTTTGAGCTTAGAAATAAATTCGTTTTTATTTTGTCCACAGATAAAACAAAGGATTGAACAAGATGGAACGCGACAGTACAGTATTGTATCCCAGTCGGGGCACAGGAATCTCATCTAGTCATAGAATAAGCAGTCGTTTTGTACACATTGTTATTGCCATGTTGTTTATAGGTAAGTCTGTTATTGATAAATATCCACAATAGATTCCTTTAATTACGTTTAGATATTTGCGATATACGTTAATGCTTCCTTATTATGCTAAATATATTAGAGCCACAGTTACAACAGAAATAATTGATTGTTAAAATATTTGTAAAAAAAACCATTAGAAACTAGATTATTTAAATGGCAAAAATCTGGAAATAAATCAGAAAATAATTCTCACAAGAAAACCTATAAAAAGTCTGGTTTTTAAATATGTATTTTCCCAAGACCTACACGCGCTTTGCCGGAATTTCTCGAAATCTTATGTCAGTTTTATTTTCAGTTACTTAAATATTTATCTATTGTTTATTTCAGGTTTACCCAGTGCACATTCCCAAATTGAAAAAATGTACATTGATGTCACAGATCTTAAGATACTTGTCGATGAGACTTACCTATTAAAGTTGGTGCAAATGTAAGTGTTATTTTGTTTAAGTATATTTGCATACTCGAGTGATTAGATTTTCTAGACCAAATTAAGAATTTAAAATATGTTTTGGACTCATTTTTGACTACGATTTGACTTGGTTTGTTACTTACCATCCCTGGATAATAAAAGTATCCTTCGCGTTTGTCTAAGACATAATTTCCGGTATATTCGTTGAAAAACAAAAACATGTATACTTAGCTGATTTTCCCGCTTTCGCGTTAATTCATATATATTTTTATTTTATTATCCGTAGCTGCGTTTCTCTATTATTTTATGTGATGGGTAGTTATATCGCGTTTTATAACTATGTAATGTTGCCACTAGAAAGTGGTTAATCGTTGTCATTCCCACCGTTAATGTTGGTTGATCTCAAGAGGAGGTCGATGGCGCAGTGGTTAGCACGCAAATCATTTATAACTGAGAAAGTTACATTCGGCAAGTCTTTTCCAATAAACATTTCAAATTAAATACCAAGGTCTTAATCATGCAAGTGAATCATTATAGGAATGTCAGAGAAATTGAGTATTTTAACAATTAACACGAGGAGGATACAATAGGGATGGCGAGTAATTTTTGTTTGTTTGAAGAATATTAAATACGTGTTAATGAATAATGGCGATATATTCAGTTGAAATGTCGCATTACGGCACACTTTTTTTACATTTTTGTATGTTCGTATTAATTTTTTTTATTATTTATGATATGTAATATGTTTGTTATGTATATTTCAATATTTTGATTTTTTTTTAATTGTATTTGTGTCTATATTGACTTTATTAATTTTTTTTGTAGCATTGCCTTATTAATGTATAACCATAACTTTCCGGTTGACTGGTGGAGAATGCCTACTGGCATTAAGTCCGCCATTTGTACGTTTTATTTGTGCAAAGAAGTTTAAATAAATAAATAAAACTGTGACGTAGCAAGCCCACTCCTCAACTTTAAAGCCTACTCGTGTAAATTTACTAACTCGACTTCCTCCGTGCTTCGGACGGGCAAATGGACCCGGGATTCGGTAAGGAGCCTGCTGGGTCCAGCGTACCTGCGTAGAAGCCTTAAATTCCGTTGGTTAATAAGAATGATTCACGTAGACCCGCGTGTTTGATCTCTGCCGAGTGTGATTGAGACGAACACCCAATGTGTTATATTTTACACCTTATGTTTATAAAAACAAGGCCTATTATACATTTTAATCATACATTAAGTCATTGGCTAGGCTAATCTGCACGAACGAAAGCTCACCTTGTAATTTAGTTGGAGCTTACTGAGAAATTATATTCTCTACCAATTTGTCTCTAGTGGTCAATACAACACTACGCTCAAGGTGGCGGCTCAGATCCAACACCCAGATATAGTGCAGTTGGTGCCAGGAACAGTGGAGATCCCGGGCTCGTCGGAACCCAACACCACGGTGCAGATCACGCACGACATATGCGCGTACGGCAAAAGTCCGGGACATTCCGAAATTTCCTTCAATGTAACCCCTAGTGGATTTGTTAAGTGAGTACCTGTTTCTTAAACGATCTGTAGATAATCTATACTAATATAATAAAGACAGAGATTTGACCTTTTGTTTCTTTGTATGTGTAACATTAAATTAAGGTACCATACATTTTCTAAAGTTTAAGATAATCTTATGAGTCTACGGTCTATTAAAAAAGACAGATCATTATAATTTATTGGCACGATTTACAAAGATTCTTTCAGCAACCGTATGGTAATTAAGATATAATATGGTCTGAATTATAAGAATAGTGCATTGATGTACTATATTCATACTCTTCAGGTCAATGTCCACGTTTCGCAAGCATATTAGAGTTTCAGATTTCGCACCGGTTCTTTTGACTAAATTATCTATACTTGTTTAGTCATCATAATTATTTGTTTTGTATACAATGATTGTTATATTATATACTTATATAAATTAGCTTAATGTACAATTACTTACAAGATACCATCACTGTGTGTCTTTGTGTGTGGATGTGTGTGTCTCTGTGTGTGTGCGAGCGTGCGTGCGTGCGTGCATACGTGCGTGCGTACGTGTGCGTGTCAGTCAAGTACTCTTCCCAATCATCCCAACTTATAAGCACTATGCTTTTACCACTATACTATGTAATTCCGCAAAGAATGAATAAATAAGTACCCGTTTACTTTCCACAGCCTCGACACCGTGTTTCTGCGTATCACCGTGATGCATTCCCATATAATAAGCGTAATCTCTTACATCATGGGTTGGATCTATTTCGCCGCGTGGTCCGTGTCGTTCTACCCTCAAATCTACATCAACTTCAAGCGCAAAAGCGTCGTCGGTCTCAACTTCGACTTCCTGGCCCTCAATGTTATGGGTTTCACTATGTACTCCCTCTTCAATTGTGGTCTCTACTTCTCTAAGGAAATTCAGGTATGTTCTTTGGTATTTGTCTTTTTTTTTTTGCTAGCGTATCATCGGCATTATAATGTATCTAACATATTTATTGCAAACCACTTTGTTTTACTGTTAACCATATACGGACTCCCATCAGCCTATTAATGCTCCACTGCTGGGGCACTGGTCTACACTATGGATGGAATCAAATAGGGAGAATGGGTCATGACCCATCACGCGGGCACAGTGCGGATTGGTGGGCGTTGTGAACAGATGTAGTCAGGACCAATAGCTTAACGTATCTTCTGAAACACGGAGAATTTCGAGATAGTAATTTTCGGTCACCCATCCTGTGAACAGCCATTGCGAAAGTTGCTTAACAACCGTATCGCAAACCGAGTGCTCTATGTATGCGATCTTATTAAATCATTTATACTACTTGAAACGAACAAGGCGCGGCGAAATGGGGGGCTACATGTAACCACTACTTACGTAGTTTTTGTCAATTTCAATTGAAGTATTGATTTTGTAGCAAAATTCTTTCAAATAATAAAAAATAACACTTATTTTATTACTAGTAACAAAAATATAAGTATGCCATAATTAGTATTGTTATATTTATGAATTTTTATATTTAATAGGAAACAGGAAAACATCAAATAAAAATATATTTAACAAAAAGTTATTCTAACTTTGTGTCCATAGCTATGCTTAGCTCAATTTATTCTTATTACGAGTATAATAGGTAATAAGAATGCTTGAGATTGTTATCTATTTTAAATGCCGTTTTAACTTATCAATTCAATTTTATCACCTGTGTAAATCTTGCGATTATTAAATCCTAATGTATCATACACATACTTATTTCAGTTTTTATTAGAAACAGATATATTATAGAGCTGCCCGTTCGTAACTGAAATTATCGGATCCGAAATAGAAATCTATCGGTGACCGTATTCGAATCAGACATTAAAGTTTCTCATAATTTCGAGTTCAGATTTCAAAATCATTATATTTTAGATTAGTAAGTTGAACCGAGCAAAATTATTTTGTTATTTAAACATATTATATATAGATAGTGAACGAATTATGTCAATATGTAATTTTCTGATGAATTATTATAACGAATAAGTAAGTATACAACGGTTAATTGCATTATTTTGCGTGAAATTTTTGTTACCTAATATTTGTTAAGCCGACTGTAATGTATAAATTTCCAATGAATATTTCAAAGGAAATTTGGTCATAACTATTTACTAAATTTGAAAGGTTACAAGCAGAGGTCGGAATTAGGTAGAGTTATTTATGTACTTGCATCGAAATGTTTATATTAATGTGGACCTTCCCGGGATTTCTTTATTTCTTTCTTTCATTGATGTAAGTTTGGCAACGTCGTGCGTGCAGTAGTTTAAATTGTGTAAAAATAACTTTTTATTTAAAAAATCACGGGATTTTTTCTGCTCTTTAAAATTAATCTCGGGATTTGAGGCATATCCACTTTCTTCTTTCGCTGTATGAAATCAGTGTAAGTACATGAATAACTCTACCTAATTCCGACCACTGGTTATAAGGTATAAATATTACGTTTGGTTACATATTGAATTACATACAGAAACTGAGCAAATTATTTGTCTACCTATTATTCAAATAAAGAATACTTTCGATATTAATCACAAAGTCATATGTATGTAAGTCCTCAAGATTTTTTGAATAATTTTAAACTTCACGAAAACGATACGATAACTGTTGGTACTTGGTTTCTTTTTTCATCTTTAATGGCTACTTTGCGTCCACAATCTTCAAGGTACTAAACCATTAACCGCATAAAGCTAATCGACAATGACATATAGAAAACGCCAAATTGAGACATGTTGACTTATTTTGATCGGATAATAGATTTAACCTGGAACTAAAGGAGTCGCCGCAGACAACAAAAAAAATATATCATTCTACATTTAAATATACAATACGGTCGATATAAACTACGAAGTAGTAGAGTAATTAAGGTAATTTAATTCTAATATCGTGAATGAATTGTAATTTTAAACTTTGTTAGGGTCTTGAATAAATGAATTTTATAAATGTTTCACGCGTAGAAAGCTTGCTTTATATTTAAATTACTTTTGTAGTAAGTATCTAATTATAAGTATTACGCGTTCTATATACATTGTAGAGTGATTAAATTAAAAGTGAAAATACCTTTTGTTAAAAAAATAGAATAATATCAACGTTTTGCTGGAAACTGCGTATTACTTCGATAAACCTTTCGACCAGAAAGAATAAAACAAAACCTTTTAATAATATTCGTGTGGTAAATAATGTTCTTAAAAAATGTATCATTATTTTTATGTCAATACGCTCGATATAAACTACAAAGTAATAGAGTAATTAAATTTAATTAAATTACATTTTTAAGTTGGATTTACGTAATAATAAAACCTGTAATGTACCATATTAAGAGTAAAAGGAATGCTTTATATAAATATCCTGCAGTGAATTTGGAATAAGTCAGAGAAGATTAAATAAATCCTATTAATATTATAAATGTGAAAGTTTCTTTGTTTGGATGTTTAGATGTTTGGATGTTTGTACGTCAATCACGCCGAAACTACTGAACGGATTTTGATGAAATTTGGTATACAGATAGGGTGTTAGCTGACTTAGATAATAGGACACATTTTATTCCACTCAACATTTCCCTAGGGTCCACGCAGGCGAAGCCGCTGGCGAAAGCTAGTAAAAAAATATTACTTCTTCTTTTTTTCAGAACGAATATTTCAGTCGTCATCCCCGTGGTCTGAATCCTGTACAATTGAATGACGTGTTCTTCTCCCTTCATGCCGCCTTCGCAACACTTATAACCATCACACAGTGCTTTATCTACGAGGTGAGATATCAGATATCATGATCCTAAAAGGAAACTTCTATTGTCACCAGCACTTACGTCCCCACTGCGGGGGCTCAGGCCATCCTTTTGATTAGTAAAGGAGGGTGAGCCATGTCCCTCCACGTTGGCGCAATGCGGATTATAGTGTTTTAACAATTGCAAATGCAACCGGAACTAACGGCTTAATGTGCCTTTCGAAACACGGAGTTGAGAGTGTAATTTTTTGGTCACCCATCCCGTGACCGACCCTTGAGAAATTTGCTTAACAACAACGAACTATTCACTACACTACCGAGATACGCAAAATATAATATATCTTTATATGTAAATAGTTCATATTTAATATTACCTAGCTGTAACTTTTCCAAAGATAATGAAAATAATATAAAAGGATTTCATCATCAGCCTAATGTTTATGTCGTGATGTTCCCAATATTGGAGCACAAGATTTCCCTTATGAATTGAATCAAATACCTAGGGAGAACAAATACTACTCATAACGCGGACTTAAAGTGTTTTCTGATGTATAATGGGGATCAACATAATTATTTATGGCCGCCCATTCGATTACAAGCCTTCGAGAAAGTTACTTAGTTTTAACAATCGCAAACCTTACGTGTTCATTGATACGCTTACTATTGATCTCTTCAAAAAGTCACGGCCTTACCCAACGTGAATTACATAGATTTTATCCCACTAACGATCAGGCTCCGTGGAGATTCTATTTTACATGTAGTAAGGTCCCAGTTGCCATATAACCATTAGACTATAACCATTTCTTTATAACTTTGATATTTGTATAAAAATTAAGTTTGGTTTCTTCTTCAGCGCGAAGATCAGCGCGTGTCTAATGCCGGGCGCGGTGTGCTGGGCTTGTTCGGTGGCATCGTCGTAATAACCGCGTGTCTGGGAGCCGCGAGTGTAGTCGAGTGGCTAGACTTCCTCTACTACTGCAGCTACATCAAACTGGCCATCACGCTCATCAAATACGTGCCGCAGGTGACTATATATATATCGATGCTGGAAAGCAAACACGTAGTAACCTGCAAAACCAAAATGGATATTAAGAGAGGAAAATCTTTAAATTTTTCCTAAAAAAAATCTTATTTCTGTACAAATTGACTAAGGAACATTTGTTACCATGGACGTTTCTAGGAATTATTTTTCGATAAAAGTAAAATATTTTCTGCTCTGAAGAACAATTTTGGTCTTGCGGGTTACTACGTGTTTGCTTTCCGGCGTCGATATATAATTATTCGCCAGTGTAGTCGAGTGGCTAGACTACTTCGATTACTACCCATTTAAAAAAATTGAATTTTTTACAGTAATATTTTTATATAGATAAGAAGAAAGATTTATTTGTTTGTTTGGTTGTAAGGAATATACTCCAAAACTCCTGAATCGATTTTAAAAATTTTTTCAAGCGAATTAGGTACGCGAAGTTATATCATATGCGGTGGACATAGACATATAGTCTATGTCCCGAAAAACAGCAAATAAAGAGATGAAAGTGGGAGTAGATAAATTTTTAGAGGGAATTAAAACGTTACCATAGTAACCATTGATTACTATTCAATTTGGCATTGTAATTATATTCGTGTCATTATATGAATCGATATCTAATTAAACAGTATTCAGATAGGCTATATTTTATCCCGAAAAATAGCAAATAAAGGAATGAAAGTGGGAGAAGTTTTTATAGGGAATTAAACGATTACCATAGTAATCAATGTATACTATTCAATTTCTAATTGTAATTATAACCGTGTCATGATATGAATCGATATCCAAATAAACAGTTCCCCAGGAACCACGCGGGCGAAGCCGCTGGCGGATAACTAGTTATTTAAACTTTATTAGGCCAAATTTTATACTCCCCCGTCGGCGCAAGTTACTTTGCATATAAATATAACGATTTATCCATTTATCGGCAGGCGTACATGAATTACCAGCGCAAATCGACAGTGGGCTGGTCGATCGGCAACATATTCCTGGACTTCGTGGGCGGTTTCCTGTCGATCCTGCAGATGACCCTCAACGCTTACAACTACAACGACTGGATCTCGTTCTTCGGCGACGCGACCAAGTTCGGTCTCGGCTTGTTTAGTCTGGTCTTCGATATATTCTTCATGTTGCAACACTACGTGTTTTACAGGTATGTTTGTAAGATTAATTTGGAGTTACCCGTTAAAAGTTCGTTGAAATAAAACATTTTTTTTTTTGCAAATTTAGTGGTACTGTTGTATCTTTTTTGAATTTTACAATATGTTTAGCACTTAAGATTTTAGAGAATTTTGATGTTTTTTTGCAATTACTTAAAAGTATTTTTTTTTATTAATTGTTTTATTTCAATGTTATTTAGCCACGCTTTATTCTACAGATGAACTTATTTGTTTATTTATTCCTAAATTTTTTTGTTATGGTTTATTTTACCAATAATGGTAGAAATAAGTTGCCTCTGTACCGATGACACATTATAGATTAACGATATCAATGCTATGTATTATACAAATAAATAGTTAACGATTGTAATAACACACGCTCCGGAGACTTACTCGAAATTATTTATCGATCGTCAAATATTTAATAATTAAATCTTAATACACAATGCATTATTAAATTTTTGCTCAATAATTACTCTGCCCGTTTGTGAATACCGCATAAAAGGTAGTTTAAAAAGTTTTTATCAGACGAAGATGCGAATTCTGTTGGCACAAACAATCCTGTCAAAGTTACCTACGCAGGTCAAACATATTTTTAATAGTTTGGTTAATAGATAGGTACCAAAGAATTGGCAGACATTTTCCTTTACAGCGAGTAAGAAACTTGTTTCGATTTGGTGTTATCAGATATTTTTCATTTACAAAAACTATGCCCATCCTCATAGTTACAGGTATACAGAGGTAACTTATTGACATATTATATTGACAAGATAATATTGACCTTTAAAAGCGTGACTATAATATCTTTAAATATGATACGTCATGTGTTTTGTACGCATATTAACAATTTTTATTTATTAACTTTATGCAAACTGGCAACAACATGCAAACCACGACTTTAAATATATCGTGAGGTGTGTTGGCTTAAAAAATAAGTGTTATCTAACAAAATATCACTATTAAAGCAATAAATACGACATAAACAAATCAACATATGAACATTTTGGCAAATTGTTATTAAACCAGTGACAATTTGCTAAAATACTTAATTTTCTCCGAAGATTTCATTTTGGCTGCATATGGTTTGCATAATGACCTCTAACTTTCGGAACTAACATTTTTTCGCTTGGACACTTTTCTGTTGTCGGTAATTTTTCTTGCCATTTTTTATGGTGCGGTGTTTTGGGGACTAACATAGTGTGTAAGCTGTCTATTTCTAACGCTTTCTTACTATCATACACTTCAACAATTGGTTTCACTATTAACACATTCAACTGGACTCCCATCAGAAGAAAAGTTTGAGAACAAAAATCCACAAAAAGAAACATAGATTACAAACATTTTTTATAAAAATGCATGAGCACGGTAGATAGATGGACATCTAAAGGAACGTGAAAAGATCAACAACTCGATAGACTTGAGACAGACTAAAATGACAACGCAAAGGAAATTGAACTCTCTGTACATGAACAGAAGACACATTTCATTGGGAAATCATTCGAAAGTAACTAAAACGCATGTAAAAAAAAAACAAAATCTAGACCAAAAACAATAGATATGAAAAGTGGGATGCTTCAAGACACAAGAATCATTTATCAAGAGAAGACACATATCTTTCAGCGAGGGTTTTAAGTTTGTGATCATAACAGTTTTGCTTGAAACGGAACGCCTCCCGCCTTCTCCAACTAATTCACCCACGGATAAACAAACGCTTAAAGGGCGCCATTTTGTTTTTAATACCGCCTCTAAAGAAGTCGTATTTTTGTCATTGATAATTTCAGAGAAGGCAAGCAATTTGTTATAATAGAGGATAATAGTGACGAATATTCGGATAAATCGAAGAATGGCGATTCTGTGGAGTACGTTATGATTACTTCAACGTGGTATGTAATTACAATTTATTTAAACTGACACCTCTATTTTATTCTTATTTAATCTTTGTTGTCTGTAGTTTAGTCAAATGCGTATTTTAATTACGAATTGCTTTGTAATGTTTTTTTTTTTTCTGTAGGCATGCCGATGAGAAGAAATACGATTTGGAAGGAAAAGTCTGACGCACCTCGAATATTGGCAATTTAGGATTTTATTTTTTTAATTTAATCGTTTTAGTTTAATTTTTCAAATTATAAGTTTTGTCAATAAGTTATTTGTAGAGATAGCTTTAAAATCGTCCAACCTTTATGATTTATGAAAGACCGATGGTAAAGACAAATCTGTAGTATGCATATTCAGATTATTACAACAATTACAATTAGAAAAACAGTTGAAAACATAATATTTGTTCATATACAAAATTGAGTTGCTTACTGAATTCGCTGACTCAGCGACTTGAAGTGCCTTCGACGATACATATGACATAATACTGCTACATATCATCGTTGCATTAACAGCAGACAGTATTTACTAGTAAACTATTGTTTAACGCCATTGGCCATAGATAAATTTATATATTTTGTGTCTGTTTTTGTGCAAGACCTTATTAAAATTAAATTATGCACTACGCTGACGAAATTTGCCAATTTATAGGAGTGCGATGTTGTTTTTTTCCAAAAGCGCCCTTAGTGTAATGGAGAGATATATCATTCATGTCGGAGTTCATTACTCGTCCATCTTTTTACCAAATTACACATTTCTGGTTAAATACCTTCAAATATTTAATGTTAGAATTTATCTGTCTCTTTCAAACAGTAGTCAAATTCAATATAATATTTTTTCAGTTTAGGCAACATCTTCATAAAGGCATAAACATATTTTACACATTGATTGTGCCTCAACTGACCGTAGGTTTGAGCAAGAATAATTGATATATTTTTTTCGATTATTCCATGTTGTTTTTTTTTCATTGGTTCGCCGTGTAATGTAACAACTCCTATATTTTGTCTACGGCATGTTTTATGAACATTTCATGTCTACGGCATAGATAGACCCTGTAACAATGTATCTACTGAAATTAGTTTTCAACATTTCAAGAAAATTAACAAAAAAACTAAAAATTATAACCCCCTTTTTTTGTTCAGAGATTATAATCATAATGTAAACATGAATTAAGTTATATCTGTGGTATTGTCAACAACACATTACATTATAAAAGCTGTCAAATTTCTTCAATACATTGTACACCTTATTGCATTAAACATAAAGAGTTCCAAAGTGATTGCTAAAATTTTCCATTTTGTGAGAACCTGAGGTGTTATTGTATGTACCTAAATATCTAACTTAATGATACGGATGTTGTTCCAAACGAAACATTTACTAAATAAAGACTTCACGGAAGACATCACTTAAATAATGCTTAATATAAAGGCACTGACACCCGGTTTCTGAATTGAGTATTAAAAGATAAGCACGTCTTAAACTGTACTTAAACATCACTTAAAACAAAGTTTTGTATCTGATTTAATTTTTTTTTAATGATCACTTGATAGCAGTTTGTTTAAAAACCAGGACTTTTTGCCTTGTCAAAAGTAAAAACTTAAGTTATTGAGAAAAATCAGCTGAGATTTTGAACTTTTCTCGACTCGGAAACCGGCCGTAATATATAAATGTTATTAAGATTTATTTCAATTATATCATCTTGACTTTTTAAAGTTATGTTAATTCATTTTTGTATAATAACGTACATAATATTGTTAAACTTTTTGCAAATTTTAAAAGCGATGGATGGTTGGTTCGCTTGTCATTTGTTTTTTCTTCTCTGTAAGGGTAGGTGCAAACCTTACGGAAGATCCGTCGAGCGTATCACGGAAATATACGCTAAATACGATACGGATCATCGGTCAAGTGTGCAACGTTGACTGTCATATCAGTTTTAACGTTGCCTGACAGATGACACGCGACGCAACTTCTGTTCGATATGCACCGACCCTTAATTGTTAAGATACATATTTTATTTATTTATTTGATGTTAACTGATTCAAAATCTGTATTATAGTGAATCCAATGATCTGTGATGCCTAACACATTTTATATTAAAATGTGTATGAACTTATATCTGCATTTTGATTACCCTACCTAACAGCGTCGCATGAATAGAACCTTCAGTAAAGGACTTAAAATTATCGTATTTAGTATTAAATCCTAATTAAAATTAATTTATGATTTATATTTGTCTATGGTCTTTTGTACTATATTGTAAGGTTTTCAAATGAATGGTAATAAATGTATGCTGGTTTTGCTGTGTTTCAATTATCAACCTTTTTATGATAGCGCTAAGTGGTGTTTTGTGTCGTGATCTTAATACCTTATGAACGCGACATAAAATTCTATTTTAAATATATCAATCTCTGCGCATATATACAACCTTTAAGAACATCGTATAAAAGTATTAAGTACCAGTTAAATAGTATTGTTCTATGAATATAAACCGAGTCATGATCATTGAAGTATATTTGTGGCATTATTAGCTCAGTAATAAGGTCTAATATTAAGTCTATTGGAAGACAAATATCTTTTTATAATGGCGGATTCTGTTTTCGTATATGTAAATTTTAATAACAATAAGTTGAATATGTAGATAGCGAAAAATTGTTTCGTTTACTTAGTTAGTTTAGTTTTGGTAAATGAAACTTAGCTAGATTGGTTTACCGCCTATGAACTCGTCTGCACTCAATTTCATGAAAATCTCTGTTGACTAAATCGTTTATATTAATATGGATATGACTTTGAACTGATATTTGAAAATACTGATCGTGGTAGTTGGAGTTTAAGCCAGTTGTCTGACCGCCGACAAAACTTATAAATATACACGTGGTTGGGCAACTGCCTTATAAAAGGAAATTATCGAAATTGTTTTCTTATTACAATCACTAATTAAACGAGGTGCGTGTTCAAGTATGTACGAGTAGAATGGGGAAATACATTACAAGAGTTTAAAAATAGATAAAAAATTATGAGAAGCTTGTCCTTAATGTTAATGTACTACTTTCACCGCATAATCGTGGTACTCGGGGGCTCAGCACGTCTCAGAAGTTTTTAAGAATATCAGTGATTTTTGAAATTTAACGTTGTTGAACAGTTGCAATTTAACGGAATAAATACTCGGACCACACAGTCGTGGAATTTATTGCGTAAATCAGCTCCGAGGTGTTCCAGCATCTGACCGACGCACTAGGTACTGATTGATGTTGTTGTACTTCATACTGCAAAATCGGAACATGATTAAAATCCAAATCCAAAGCGAGGATATATCGGACGGGGTTCAGTAGGTATACCGGCCGCGTTTTGACAAGCCTTCGGGCGGATCGGTGTGGTTGGAGGTAATCCTACATACTCCTGTCGCTTGTCAAGCCGCAAGCAAACGAAGTGCCAACATACCAATCGCACCAATTAACATAATACCCGAAGGCCTATTCTATAACTCCGAAAATGAAATTTGTCTATTTTCCAAATGCTTATACGATTCCAGAGAATCGCATTTTATGGTAATTTATGATGTAACGTAGGTAGGACCTGACACTGCTTCTGATGCACAAATAAATCTTCACAGATATGGTTTCCAGATTCGAAATTTCCAAAATTTTCATTCGAGGACGAATAGATAGGTTCTCAAGTGTATTTCTAATTTGTACTATGTATTTATACATAAAATGTTAGAAACTACTCCACTGGATCGGTTGCATCATCGACCAAAACACGTAACGGTCATCTCGTACAAAGAATATGTTTTGGCCTAGCACGCGCTAATTACGGTCATGCTCTGATATGATGTAGTAGCAGTGGCGGACTAAGGGGGGGCGGAGGGGCGGTCCGCCCCGGGCCTCTTATCCTGGGGGGCCTCCAAATGGCTGAAAATCATAAATTGGGGTTGTACTGCCTTATCTTTCTTAGTTTCGTAGTTTTAGCAGGCGTCGTAGCAGGGGAGGCGGTGTAAACACAAAATCAAGTTTCTGCACCAGTTGTAAAAAGTTGTAGGTACGGACCTAATACCGCCCCGGGCCCCCGACAGGATTAGTCCGCCACTGTGTAGTAGGCCAAAGAAATTCAAGCAGCGCCGGCTCAATGAAACGTGGCACTCTAGGTGAAACACGGGAACGACGTCCATAAAAAAAATCACAATAAATAAGACTAATTTAACCTACATTTGTGTTTTACATACTAATTAAGTAGTGTAATTTTGCCAATGACGAAAGAAACTCCTTAGGCTCTGCTGGTAGGTATGACTGTTTTGTACTTATGAATACAGCGGACATCGACTCATGTTCATAGAACCAAAATCATTTTTGTTAAGGTATCTACTGTATTTTTAAGGCTGTTTGCCTTATCATGCCGGCCCCTAGGCAGTTGCCTACTTTGCCTAAAAAGACAGGCCAGCCCTGACTTCAAACATCCAAATTAGGTGTCGTTACTGTTGTACAATATCATTTCTTAAACTAAACCAAAATCTTGCTAACTTGAATTAGGGTTTGTTAACACGTTATTTGACGTCATAGTCACGAAATCAATCCAACTTCTCATGTACTATATATAATATAACAAGTTTACTTCTGTTATCCTAGTTATTTGCACAATTGGAAAAGCTATCTATCTATCTTTGCTATCTGTATAGTAAGTACTACAGATACAAGGCCGGCCCGTCCATAGGGAAACTAGGCAATACCCAAGGCGTTGGTAAATTTTAACTGTGTAACTAACTAACGGGTCATGAGATACAGCCTGGTAACGGTCGGGCAGAGAGACGGATGGACAGCTGTTGTCTTACTAATAAGGTCAACCTTTGGATACGGACAACTCGACAACAAATAAGAAAGTATATGAATTATTCTCGGCTGTTTTTTATATGACATTTTATGAAAATAAAACAACTACATATAAATAAAAAGTAATACAAGCTAATTTTATAAGAGGTTTATTAAGGATATTAATATTACCGCTCTATTTCACTGGAATCCTTTACTTTATCTCACAGCAGGTTGTGTAAAGGAACGATCAGCCAGATTGGATGGGCAATAAGTACCATAATATCAATGAGCTTTTATACTAGACGTACGTCAGTCAAACTTCGAGACATTACTTTAACAATCGTAATTACTGATATTTTTACGAAATAAAAAAGAATTTGAATGAAGCAAGAACTTTTAATAGTTAATTGTAACAGTTGCATAGTATTCACTATTATTATTAGCTTTTAACAGTTCTTACTTCATTCAAATACTCGTTTACCTACGTCACATATAACCATAATATTTTCCCTACTTTAGCGATAGAAGTTCTATGTTAATATACTACTGCCTATAAATGGTGACTGACGGAAATAAAAACGTTCAAAGCTTTTCAATTTTGATACTGGAACTGCAACCTGCAGCAATTAAAAAAAAGAATTTATATAAATATGAAAAAAGTTCATAAGCTATTGTTTTTTTTTTTCTATTTCAGGGAAGCCCGGTACATTTTGCTTCCTGGCAGAAGTCCTGACGACGAAGATTGCGAAGAACAAGGTAACTCAGATCGTAGAGACACGTCAACTAATTCAATATACCAGGGTACGGCATAGTACACGAATGAGACAGTTAACGACATTATATATGAATCGACAAGGGAAAGGAAATGGAAGAAAATGATATAGCATCCAAAGAGTCTCAATAAGATATTGACTATTTTTTATAAATTGACTTTATAATTCGGTAAATTTGTCATGGTGGAACAAACTTAAATAGTCGTGTGGAAAATGACAGGATAATTAACGAATAATGAATACAGATAAATGTATTCGCGAAGTTAACAATTAACGGACAATAGTGACCGATTTTAACGGTGTGCAAATATAACGTCTTGAAATATGTGCCGTGAATTTGAAGTGGACCAGTTGACTTAGTGCATTTTGTGATGTAAATTAACTTTACGTCTGTAAGCGAAGTTTGAAGACAATTGATAAACAATGTGACATTTATTTTGCATTTACAAATCCGTTTTGGACTGGTCCGATTCGGAACTCGATTGTGATTTATTAACACCATGGCGAAAGATAAAATGGTGATAAATAGAAATAAGTTACACAAGTGGTCTCATGACTGCAGTAAGAAGAAAAGAAAAATGAAAAATATTTGTTCTGTTCATATATTGTTATGCAGGCGTGTTGATAAATTAATAGCATTAATACTTAATAAGTATTGTTAACACATGAAAATTAATGTACTACTATACGTATTTTCAAAGACTTCTATACTCTATGTCTTTGACTGTTGTATATTTACAGTTATTATAATATTAGTGATGGCCTGAGGATAGGATTCGTCAGGAGTATGCGAGCTTCTATAACTTTGTCCTATGCAAGGACAAAGTTATGGAAGCTCGCACTGAGCACATAAGTCCTTGTGACTGTACTGGATACAGCATAAGTTTCTTTACAAATTATATTCTTTAGTGTTGTCAAAATTGTGACCAAATAATACCCGTACGTACTAATTTGTATGGGTCAATGCATTTTTTCAACGACCTCCGAAGCGTGTACCTAGAATGCAGATTCTGACATCGATTGATGTCGAGGTTTTCTAAGGTCACAAATTAGATTTCCTGCACGAAATACTATAATTGTTTTTTTTTTTTATATTTAGATAAGAGCCGATGTATGTGATATAATTAAATATTCATTTAAATAATTACAATAATAGCGAATTTATTTTTAAATATTAATTAGTGACACTAAATACGAATGACTAGTATAATTTTGATTTAATGAAATTATTTTATCATTGTTATTAATATTATTAGTATTAATAAGCAATAATAATTGACATTATAATTGTGACAATGATAATAAATTTGAAATATTTCAAGCAATTTTTTAAATTTGTACCGTTAGTTTTATTATAAAGTATGCTAAATTATAGACTGAAATCTGTTTTTATGTTACTAATATGTTATTAGATAATATAAATTAATGTGTATTACTTATCGGAAAATATGTCTAATATTCAATCTTCAATGGTAGAGCAGTCGCTCGTTTTACTGCCGCCGTCTCGGGTGGCCGAGGCAAAATTTTCAAGTATTTATCCTATAATATACTTGAAAAATATAGCGATAGCACTGCGAATGAAAATTTTATTAAATGTAACATGTGCTTGCTAAAGAAAGGGTGAAATAAGACCTTTTCTTAACAGAACTGAATTTTTTATTATCTGTTTAGTTGTTTCAAACTCTGAAATGGAGTCCGAGATACCAAAAATTTAAACAAACGAATGTCATTATCATTAAAAAAATATAAAAGCTTTATAATAAAGATGTATGTTTCAAGTACAACGACAGCTGTTCAAAATTCCATTTCAGAGTAAGAGTTAGTTCGTGTTTCTCCTTTTCAGTCACCTTAAGTAATTTCTTTTTAATTGTAAACGGCAGTATTTAGAATAGTGTTATTCCAAATAATTTAATAGAAAATTATGATCAAAAATGATTAATGCTAGAAATATAAATCAATTATATATATATTTCTTCGTATGATCAATTCAATGATCTTTTGGAACATCAACTTATGGGTTGGCACACACCTAACGAAATAAAGCTCAGATCATATGAAAGTACCTTTATCGTCTTTATTGACGTATTGAAAACTCCTGGAGCATGGAACTACTGGAAAAAAAACGTTGTTTTTATATTAATTCAATGTTTACAGCAGCGATAAAAAGTGTCAATGTTTTGCGCTTTGCTTCGGTATATGTGTATCAATCCTAATGGCTAGAACAGCTATGTCTGTTAAAAAGATATCCCCAAACTCGACATCGAGCTCGGCGCTGTGACAGTATAGAGCGTAAATGCCCTTATTACCTTTTGAAGTAGGTTTTATTTCAAAGTCAAAGTATTTTATTTGCGCAATAATATGTATCTACAATGGGATAATCAATGATCCAAAACCAAATATTATTCCACCTTATTCATGTAGGCATGCAAAATTTCAATAAAAAAGTAACCATCATAAATATATATATCTATATTAAAACACATTCCGTATACATTTTATCATTATATATTTCTTTTTACTTTTCTTTATTTATATCAGGTCATTGAACATCTATGCTATTACAGAGCTATACTAGACGTCTAGTTCGAGGCTGTTTTTATGACAGAATAGGAATGCAGAGCCGGTGGCTTGTATTAGTGATGCGACTCGAGTAGGATTTTGTGACTCCAGTCTCTCGAGTCATACGTGAGTTTTCGAGTGACTCGAATATAAAAATTTCAAACGTGCTATTTGAGTGAGATTTCTCTTGGTAATTTTAAACTAAAACATACATACATACTATAAATAAACACACTAAAGAGATTTTATATATTATTTAGTTAAGTAATCAAGAATATAAAAAAAACAATCGGCATAGATTAATAAATTAGAGTAGCGAAGTGACATCTAGTGGCTAAAGAATCAACTCGATACGCCGAGTTGACTCGACTACTCGAGTGCATAGAGCCTCGAGTAATTTTTTTCCACTTGAGTGCGAGTTTGAAAAATTTACTCGAGTGACTCGAGTAAAAACAGGACTCGAGTCGCAACACTAGCTTGTGTGGCATGCGGTATGTAGCAGCCATGAAATATATTGTTATGGTTTCGTTACTTTTGACTGTCGATGAGTGGTGTTACTTTAAGTGGATTTTTTAAGCATTTTGTATTAAGAATAATTTTGAAGTATGGCATTGTGAATGCTAAATTAATCAAAAATATAATAATTATTTTTAAAGACTGCAGCAGTATATATTTTGAGCGATTTGTGTATATCATCATTCTGCCGTTATATTTGTACGCTAAATCTTATACATTGTGGTGTTGAAAGATTTTTATATAAACACCACCACATCAGCCCCCTAATTGTCTAATTTTAAATCTATTGCAATCGCTTTCAGTTTGAAAGGTGTTGCACAACCATTGCTGCATAATACAAATACTCTTTTTTCAACTGTCTTCAGAAACAAGCAATGGTTGTGCAACACCTTTCAAACTGAAAGCGATTGCAATAGATTTAAAATTAGACAATTAGGGGGCAGGTTTCGACAGATCGCAAAATTTCTGCATCAAATGTTAAACTTAACTATCAGTAGGTTAAGGTTTAAAATATATTGGAGAAATATTGGGTTTTTATGGTAACCCGACGTGCCCTCAGGTATGCGTACATTATGTTTGTACTGTTACATGTTATAGTATTCATTACCATATGAATTCTGGTATGCAATGTTTTGTATGGTTTTTATCAAAAAAGTGTTTGTGTCCGGTATTACAGCAGCGCCCTCTTGGATTTGAAATAAATCTTAGCTCATCGTGTTATAATTTATCTATTTATTTAGTAACGCAGGAGATCCATTATCATATAGGCTGGGATGAAGTTATGACAAATGGCGAAAGTAAATATTTAAAGACATGTTTGGGTAAGTGATAACGTAGCCCTGCTCTATTGAAGTCACTGAAACGTAGAACCTTAATATTAGGTCATACTACTCTGTTTCTAAACGTACTTGTAATTGTTTATGTTATTTTAATGGCTTTGCCTCAACGGGTGTATTATAAATGTAAATCAACCTCTTGACTCACTGTGTATTGATAATAACCGCATTAAAATGTGTGTTTTATACTGTGTATAGACGAGCCACAAAAATATTTTGGAATTATTAACTCGTTTTCTTGCGTTAAATTAAATCCAAATATAAAAAATTATACTCGCGAAAAGGTCGCGAAATCCGCCATGTTCATGACGTTATTTCGGTATGTATGCAAAAAATTTAAGAGGTGCCAGTCAGAATAGAACAGTGCCATCTAACGATCTCGCTACAAAATAATATACTGGATAAGGTATTCTTACCTAGTGCCATAAAGGGATCTGTCGGATACAGAAAACCTGACATACGCAGATTTTTCTGCCGATACGGTGCCACACCATGGTGGTTCGGGTCTCAGGTCACGTGATACACAGATAAAACAAACTTTACTTTTAATTTAATAAGTTAATCACGCTTTAGTTAGTTTAATTCCATATAAAATTTACTATATGTAGACTGTTTTTATTAAGAGTCAACAATTCAATTTATAATTTAAAAAGGTGTATTAAATTCTTATAATCACATACTATTTTTAAGCAATATTTATACAATTTAGAATTTTATAATCACTTTATTATAACTTTCTTGCCTTTTCCGTTGTTGATATTCAATATAATTATATAGAACATTTGTAAAAAAGTACATAATAAACAAATATCGTTATTCACAGTGATGTTTTAATACTAACCGAAAACCGAAAAAATATTATTACAAATGCTTGAAAGATTCGTCAGTCCTGTTAGGTCCTGGGTAGGTCAGCGGTTAGACCAGTCGCCCGGATTGCGAAAGGATGTGCGTTTGAATCCGATCTCAGGGTGCCAGGGACCAAGTGGATTTTTTTAAGCATTTTGTATTAAGAATAGTAAGCTGTACTGTTATATAGTGCCACATACGGATATCGTTAAGATATCGTTGTCGTCCGAGTGGACGATGTTTGAGATGTGTCGTTTCGTTATCGTCGCAGTGTGAATGTGCCCAATGACACACCCCAATTGACAGTGTCTAACGCATTTCCTCGACAAAAATGGTCATATGAAAATTACCACTTGAAAAGGGGCCATCCATTACTTACGTCACACGGTAAGAGGGAAGGGAGGGGGTCAACGAAGTGTGACATTGTGTGACAAGGGGGTGGGAGGGTCCTAAATTTCGTGACGTCACATTTCAAAATATATTATAATTTAAGTGTTAAAAGACTAATTTTAAACTATTACTGTATTACACAATTAATTGTACAAAGACATCACACTAGGAGGGGGGAGTCTTACAAGTGTGATAAGCTGTGACTAGGACGGGGGAGGGGCAAAAAAATCATGAAAATCGTGTGACGTAATTTATGGATGACCCCAAATTCAAATTAAAACTCAAAATTCCATATTGAATATCATGACTACCTTAACAGCAATTTTTGTTAGGCGTATGGTAGGTTAGTGTTGAGCGTTAATTAATTAATTTCCCAATCAAAGCGTTAGTTAACTAAAAAACATTGCAATTAAATCTTTCGTTAAATTAATAAAACATGCATTGTTGGTCATAATTCAAATGATAGCAATTATTTTTTATTTGTTCTAAGATACAATTAAAACTAACAAATACTTAACCCTCTATTGCATACAGAGCCATTT